CTCATGTATAAAGCACTGAATATTCTAGCTCCAGGTTACCCAAAGGGATTGATTGCTTGAGTACAGCCAAACATGTAATCTGAGATCTTCTGATTCAGGGCTTCTTACACTAAAATCTACAATTTGGCTCCACGCAATGATTGATAAAACTTCATATCTATGGACCTCTTCCCAAAGTCAACTGAAGACTGTCATTGTGCTTCTCTGTTTCGTGTTGCTGTGTTGTCTAGGGTGAGTCTTTCATCCACACTGTGTTGCCATGCTGAGATGTTTACAGTACCTTAATAACACACGCCTGCTATACACACGTCTTTTAAAAATATCCTTTGTCTTTCCATGATGGAGTTATTTGCAAATTGCTTCAGTTCCTTGCTTTCACACCAAATTATGAATTGATGACTACATTTTAGGGCTCAGTTGTAAAGATTTTTAAGAAAGTTATAAAAAGCATCCGAGAGAAAGAAGGTCATCTTAACAATAAAAGCACTTTAGGGACTTTTTAAATTAACCACAGTTTTCATTTCATGTTGGATGTGTTCAATTGTGTTAAAAAGCTGACGAAGGACAGATGGCCATTGAGGGAGCAGTAACTGGTGAGACGTTTTTGGAGTTATTGCTGTTCATAATCATATACTTTAGATCAGGTGCGCATATTCTATATAATCTGAACCTTATCTTTATGATTCTGTATGCGCTATCTACCTGTGAATGGTTCTATTGTATTACAGTATATATATTATCAATCTACCTTTTATCAATTTTTATCAGTCACAATACAGATTCTATTAGAACCCTGGAAGATAAAATCTTACAAGGTACTTTTTCTGGCGTTTTCATTATCTCCTAAATTAGGTTTTCTCGGATTGAGAAAATATGATGCAGCAGGCGCTGTAGTTTAACTCATTGTTGTTGATAGTTTCCGAAAATTAATACTTTTGTAGGCCAAATCCCCGGTTCTCGGGACTTCACCGAAAATGGAGATCAAAGTGAAAGCAGTGGGGCAAGATGGAAAAGCACTGCGCCTCAACCTCAGCCACGTTTGTCTCCTCAAATTAAGACCGGTCGGCTCCAACCTATCCATGAGGCTAATGCGGATCTACTCTGGGAAGAAACAGGTCCGTCTGTCCCAGAACCTGGGGCGGACGTGCCGCTGTATATACGCGCACTTCACAGGTAATGCTGAGTAAATGGACCAGCAGGTAAACGTGTGATTCATTCCTGATATAAGCAACATTTTCAGTCATATACCGGTGCAGTGTATGATTCTAACAAATCTACGGATATTTTAAAATTTAAGAAATGGTATTTTACAATAAAAGATTTTAATAGACAAGGTCCTGTGAGCTGTTACACTTGTATTTCTCAGATTTTGTAAAAGCGACCAAACAGTACCTGGAAAACCGATCTAGTCAGTTTCTAGAGGCACAGCACACTGGCGTTGAAGTAGCAAAGAGGTGCTATTTTTTGGGGGGGACAAATTAATTACATCCCTGTTTGAAGACGTTGGAAGAGTTATTCAACGGCAGAATTTATTCACTCTAATATCTCTGTAAGCAGTGAAAGAAGGAGGCTGGAATCCAACTGCAACAATGCAGGCTGATTCGAAATACCTGTAAATACCTGTAAATCAAATTTTAAAATGATTTTATACAGCCTTGACTATGACATAATACTGTGCGCAGCAACGCTAGTCAAAAATAAATCAGTACACAAATTTATCATCTGTAGTCCGGGTCTTCCAAAAACCTACTGGTTAAATGACGTGCAGGCAGTCACGTCATTTAACCAGTAGGTGGCGCTCTTTCCTGTCAATTGGGATCACTTGAAACTTCTCTTTAAATGTCTTTCCTTCCCCTCTTACAGTTTCAGGCTGTTTTGTTTCCCGTTGCTCTTACTCGCAAAAAAAGGTTCATCTTCTAAATCGTTATTGGAATTAGGTCGCAAGAGTTTCTTAGAGTTTTGTTTTAAATGATAAAACGTTGTCCCACTGTAATGAAACGGGCAATGAGACTGTCCCTGTAAAAGTCTCCAAATTGTCATTCGCTACGCCACCATCACAGAACCGAGACCTGTGTTACAGTATCGATATTGACGTATTTTGGGGTTGAAGACATATATAATGAAGTAGTTTGATTCGTAAGGTCTGTTGTATCTGCCGACACTTGATGTGTAAACTTCTTGTTGAACTGTAATGTTACTTAATGTAACTTCTAACTGTATCTTAACACATAAAGGGAATTTCCGGAGTTTTCCAAACTTATTTTCTTCCTTTATAAATCCATAGAATGTGCTAGGAATGGAATTTTAAAACTGAATTTCAAATGTAAATTTGTTTTACATTAATCTAATGTAAAACTAAGAGCAGGAGGCACTTCATTTCAAAAAAGTATTTGGATTATATAATAGATACTTTATTGATCCCGGGAGGGAAATTGCAGATGAAGCTATATATAACAAGCCATGTTATTAAACTGAAACCCTGGCTTCTTCAAAGAAACAGCAGAGAACCTCGTGTTTATTAGATAACAAAAGAGCTGGAAGAGCCGAATGTCCTACTCTCATTTCTCATGTTTATGTTCTTATGTTTTAGAAAATATTCGTGAAAGTAAGACATTTTTTAATGACTGCCAAGTAAAAAAAGATCACAATAAGCTATATTGTTATTAGGGTGATATCATAAAAAAGCCGTCAGAATCTTATCATGTAGCATTCTATAATTTGCTAATATAGTTAGTTAAGATATATGGTATAAATCATTACAAACGAAGTTTATATTAAGCTTTTATATATGTATCCAATGTCTTAAAGGTAAGTCGTCATAACATTAAATACATAATATCTACATTATTGTTCATGTATTCTGTCAAGATTTCTTCTTCATGATCCGGTATGGATCATACAAACTACGTTCTTGGATTTTGTCAAATTTAGGAGGCGAGTCTTTATAACTTTTTTTTATATTTAATTCAATGGGAACATGTATAAATACTGTATATATTCTCCTAAAAATGACACGCACAATATGGGGCTGTTATAAAACAATGTGCATACTCAGAAAACGTTTCCGGTGCTGTTTTCCGATATTTACATTTGATAAATCTATCACAGTAATTACAATTAAATTACAATTAAAGTGCAAACAATCCATACAGTTTGTTGTAGAGGGATTTTATGTTAACATCAAGAACGGTGGTTGTTTTCAAATTATATGTTCTTTTGCAGGTATTTTGGAAAAACTTTAGCTGAATCTTATCTACAGCCCACTATTTCGGAGGAGAAGATGTCCCCTAGAGCACGGGTGATATATGAAAAGGCAAGAGGTAAGGGTCGAGACAAAATTGTACCAGGCTTAACAATCGGCGACAGAGAAGATTACAAGCCCCTCATCGGTCGCGGACATTAAAGAAAGAAGCAAAACGTGCTTGCACAAAAATCAACTACTAACTTTAAATTACAGTTCTGAGCTACAGACCTTACAGTATGATCACGCTCCATTCACGGTGCCAATTCCAACAGACTACGGAAAAGCTTCTACCTCCAGGCAATAAGACTGCTAAATAGCCAACCCGCAGCTCCTTCAGCAAATCACCTGTAATGGCTACATGGACACAGTTTTCACTATATTCAGCATAACTGCACTACATGTATATTTTGCATACACCATGGACACAGCTCTACTCACATTGAGTTTTATTCAATTTAAAAAATTTAACCTCAATTTTGTGACTTTTGTGTGTTTGTGAATTTTTGTGATTTTTGTGATTCTTGTCATTTTTGTGGGCTCGCAAAAAAAAGACATTTCATTGCCAGCAAACACTGCTGCACGCCGTATTGTTGTGCATTTGATAAATAAACTTTGATTTGATTTGATTTGAATTGTGGATGACAATTTCGTTCTTTGCAGAGCTCGACCTTTTCGTATTTTCATCTATTGGCAATATAAATGAGATCCGAAATTTGTCATCTAGTTTTTCTTTAACCAACGTTAAATTTAAATTCGTTTACATTTGTCGATTGTGAAAAATTGACTTTATTAGTCCCAGTTAATGTGCATTAGCCTTTTCCCAGTCCTTAGTCGTGGAGAGGTTTGTATCTGTAAGCGAAGTCATTGCCACCGTGGCGTCTTCAGAGTATCGTGATGTCGTCACCGGCTTGGAGGGAGAAGGGTGGCGGTGTGTCCTCTCGTCCTGGAAGAGAGGCTCCTCGTACTTTTTAAGAGCAGCGGTAGTTTCTAAGAGGGGAACGTATCGACATGTAAACCACTTGTTGTGAAGGACTCCTCAGTTTGAGGTCCTTCACAACAGTGGTTATCGTGTTATCAATGATAGGACACTGTCTCATTTCTGCTTGTTTAAGTGATAGAAGTAGCTTGCTATATGATTCATATTATAGTATTTTTGCCTTTCGTCTTAACAGCAGCAGCAACGTAATTTCGTAAAGGGACGAATGCATGGAGAGCTAGATGTGTTATTTTCCCCTTTTCTTCTTTTTATTAGCAAAGGTTTCTAATCTTTCCTAAACAGCTTTAAATTCAGAGGAGACCTGGAAAATGTTGAGGGAACAGTCGAAACTGAAACTGATGCAATTGGAATCTAAACTTCCATCAGATGCAAAAGTAGGCACAACTCCTTCCGTATTTGAAATCCAAGAAAGTACTTTTCGTTACTGTTGGAGGCAGTGGCCATTGGCAAAAATGATTTGAACACCTACAAGAAGTGTACCTACATGTAAATTGTTTTTCCTTTATGCCTCCTTTTCGGCAGTTATTAGAGAAACGGAGGTTCAACGAAATGCTGCAGAATCTTGATGGAAGAATTGGTCACTACAGGAACAATCTCGCACAGATACACAGGATCTCAGAAACAAACCAGGACAAGATGTCTCTGATAATAGTCAATAATCCTCTCCCTGACCTCACTGACATGAAGGGGAACTGTGGCCCAATGCAATATCTCATCAAAAGCGACTCGAAGCAGGTGTAACAGTGATGTACCTTCACCGAGCAGTTCGAATTTGGAATGGAAAGGAATCAATTATTTTGAAGCTTGTGCATGTGTTCTATCTAAACTGGCGTAGGGAAATAAAAATGAGATTTTTCAAAAATGTCATTGATTTCAAATGCGGTTTTGTATCGCATGAAAGGTTTTGCTTCTTTATTCTTTTATATATATATATAAATGATTTGGCTCTTTCTTGAGTAGTAGCAGGATGCTAAGAAATAATAATAGTATTCCTTTCACAGACAAAAAATCCTTTGAAGAACTGGCATGAATTGCCACCCCTGAATCACAGCAGAAAACACCCGTCACTAATCTGGAGAAAGTCCTACAGTCTGAAGAAAGAGCAGTGCCATAGACCAGGCAAACAGGCAAAAAGGTATTTATTAAGAATAAGGAATGTGTATAGCATGGAGTGTTGAGTGTTAATTGGGACTTTCTGCAACTTTGTACTTTGTAATTTAAAATCATTCATAATTTTCTGCTTTTTCCCCAAAGGATGTACCTTTACCAATCAGTGTGGTCAATTCAGATTCAAATGGGACCTCTGTGTTTACCTCCTATTTATATTGGACTGTGATTGAAGTAAATTAATTATTGTGTCACATAAGTAAGACTTAAAAGATTAAGCAGGTGGAATGATGTCGGCATTGCTAGAGCATATTTTTAATTGTGGTCTTTATTGTGGTTTTAATATACTCCCACAAAGACTTGCGAAAACAAGATTTTCATCAAAACCGGACCTTCAATAATCAAAAGTAATTCAATAATTAGCAATGTACTACTTTCTAAGGCACACTGGGCCATAGATTTAACACAGTACCTGTGTCTCTTTTCGCTCAGACTCTTGAAAAAAATATCTGGATTTATTATTAGATCAATAGCTACAATAAACCAAATGTGCAAGATAGTTTGAACAGCCTTGTCAAGTATATCATTTTTCACATTCTCTTAACATTTGTGAAGTTTTAAAGAGATCATCTAAGCAAGTAAACATTTCCTTTTTTCATTTTACAAATTAAAACTTTTTCTTTCTTCAGAAAAAGTAAAGCAATATCTCTAGGAAACGATGCTCAGATTTTTTTTTACAAAATATCCATCAGTTTTCAAATCCCTTCATCCAGTTCAAGGTCTTGAACCAGAGCCTATCCCGACAAGCAGTGGGCACAAGGCAGGATCTATGAAATGTATTTATAAAAAGAGTTCTAATCTAGCAGATATTTTTGTGCTATTGTGTAAAATCACATTAAGCATACTTGAGCAAATATAACACAAATATACTATCAATGTATTTTATTTCAGGTCTCAAAGAAATGCAAACTCAAATACTGG